TTTTAATATGGTCCCTCTTACCCCCGCTTTTCACATGAGAGGTAAGAGTATAAAATAGATCTGAGCCATTGATCTCATTAATTAATGGCCTGATTAACTCTTACCTTCTTACCTCACATGTAAAAAGAGGAGGTAAGAGGGACCATGCTAAAATTTGCCATAAATCAATGATCAATTAGATAAAGATCCACTATGGAAAGTATCTTTCTCAAAGCCTAATGGCTGGATATAGAAGAACTTGCAAGAAAACATGGTGCGGTTGCTTGAACAATTGAGATTAGGTCTACTGGTTTTCACCCTGGTTGCTAAAAAAGGATTAGGTATGCTAAGCTGGCTGTTCTTATTTTTTTCCTTCTATTTTGTAAGCTAGGTAAGAATTTACTATAGCTTCCAACTTTGTTAACAAGGTCATCGTATCAAAATGACGCAATCAACTTTTTTCTGACTGGATCTGCCACTTTATTGGAACTACTTTTGTACCATTGATTAGGGTAGTGTCCCATATGCTTTTTTTAAAGGATTAGTGTCCCATATGCTTCTAACTAGAACTACTGGTTCAATAGATCATGTCTATATGTATCCTACTTGACAGTATTTCTCCTTTGTGTGGCACTTCTCTTGTAGGCTGAAGAGAAAATGCGTTTACGCCTTGCCAAGAACTCTAAGAGACTAAAGCTTCTAGATCAAAGGGGTGCTGAAGCTCATAAGGTTGACGCAACTCAAAATTTGCTCAGGAAGCTGTCAACAAAGATAAGGATAGCTGTTCGTGTCATTGCCAAGGTTTCAAGAAAAATTAACAAAGTAAGGGATGAGGAACTAGTGCCACAAGTTAACACCTTGATCCAAGGGTACGTCTCCTTTTAAACTGTAGGATAATTGCTCTAATTTTCTCATTGTGTTTTCTGATTTCTTGCTGCAAAATGTTCTTTTCGGTCGGCCAGTCATAAGATATGAACTGTTAATTTCATCTTATGCACTGCCATATCATATGAATGGAGCACACATTTGAATCTAACGATGAAATCATACATTTACATCTAGGATTGTTCCAGGAGTCTGTCTTACTCTTGCATAATCTGTATTTCATTGTGAAAACATGTTACGCGCCGAAGATAAAAATTCCGATTGCTCTTCTGACATACGTTCTCTCTGAAGCTGTATCTATTTCTCATTAGGTGCAAGCTGATTCTAACAAACTGATCACCTCTTTTCAGGTTTGCAAAAATGTGGCAAGACAAGCTACACTCCTATCAGATTCAACTTCAAGTGATATCAGAAGCCAAAAACCTGGCTTCGGTCACATCAGGTGGAAACAACAGCCCTGGTTTAGCAATGGAACTGGAGCTAGAACTGATTAAATGGATCATCAACTTTTCCTCCTGGGTGAGCGCGCACAGGAACTTCGTAAAGTCACTCAATGGATGGCTAGCACTCTGCCTCAACTACGAACCTCAAGAGGCACCCACCTACTCGCCCGGGAGGATAGGCGCTCCGGTGATTTTCGTCATCTGCAACAAATGGTCTCAAGCCATGGACAGGATCTCGGAGAAGGATGTGGTCAACGCAATGCAGGCCCTTGTCTCGAGCGTGCGCCATCTTTGGGAGCAGCAAAACCTGGATCAAAGCGAAAGGATCGTCGCGGTTCGAGAGAGGGACAAGTGGATGAAGATGTTGGAGAAGAAGGCGCTGGAGATCAACAAGGAAGGTGACGAGTTGAACAGGAAGCTGGCCTTGGTGCCGGGCCAGCAGCAGAGCTTTCAGCGGTGCCCGACGATACGAACGTACGAGGCGCATTGTATCGACGGTAGCAGCGTGCACGTGAACCTGAGGCTGCTGCTTCAGGCTCTGGAGAGCTTTGCTGCCAGTTCCCTAGAAGCTTTCCAGGAGATACCGAGACTAGATGAAGAGACGACAAGGTCGTCGAGAGGGAGTTCGAGGGTGCCACGGTGACCTGCTTGTAAGGTGTTTTCCAGAACTTGCAATCTGTGGATTTGGATGAGTAGTCTGTAGTTTCATGCTGATGCTAGCCTGGTGGCGTTTTGGTGGGGGGATATACGGCGGTGCCGATATCCTCGTGTAATTAGCTTTTGTTTCACTGAAGCGTTTGTGGGCTAGTCTTGTGTAAGGTAAGGCTATGGTAGATTGGTGGTAGTATGGTGGTGTCTTCTTTTCTAATGGGAAGGCTGGAACCGGGTGATCGTGATCGTGCCCTGCTTTGTTGATTACAAAAAATGTCAACGCCTCCTCGCTGTGTGGAAAGCAGAGACCAACTGAGGTGAAATTATATGATATGCAGAGGTGGCAGCATGGTGCCCTTGGTTAGGCACTGTAAGCTGGAGGCTCCTGAGTCTTCAGGGTAACTAATTTATGGATGGGCTTTCGTGCAGAAGACCAGAGAGCTTGGACGGGGCGCTGTGTCGTTGACAATTTGTCGCGCCAGCGCTTTGGGCGAAACGATAATCGCCGGCGGAAAATTTTCAGCACGAAGTTCTGGCTGAAGAACCTTGGTCCGCGTTGCATATATCTGACAAGTGACAAGTCCAGTGCTCTGCAGGGTCGTTGCTTGCCTTGTGTTAGTCGTTTTCAATTGCCGCACGCGCATTTGAGAGCTTTGCTGTACTACCCACAACAGTAGCACAGCATGATTTAGTGTTGTCAGAGCAAAAGAGCCGCTGTGCTCCGTCGTCAGGTTCGAGTCCATTTAACAAGGGAACGAAACTGAAGTTCAGGCTGATATATCCATGTTTGCAGATCTAAAGTTCTGAACAAGCCCTTCATCCATTACGAGTTTCAGTTGGTGATCTAAGCTTGGGCGGACGTGTGGATCGTGGCGGCGGCGATGTGCATCGATGTAGAGATACGATATGTTCTTTTCTTCTTTTTTTGGGTTCTGTCATTAATTGGGGAGAAAAATATGTAGTTTCATGGGCATGGAAGTTGCCTAGACAGTGATAGTCTGATAGATCGCCTTCGACGGCTAGCCAAGTGCAATCCCCAGAAAGTACTGCCGCGGTTTTCACTTTGCAGGTCAACTGGTGGCAATGGCGTGGCCGGCGCCCGGCGGCTTCGTGCTGTGACCTGAGTGCCGGCGGATACAGGGGACTAATATTGTTTTTTAGTCCATATATACAGGGGACTAGTATGTATCGCCTGTAGCGAGCGCTCGCTCACAGGGCCGCAAATGGGCCAGGCCCGGTACTGGTGCACACCTTTTGTTTTAGAATTTCTGGAGACCAACTAAGCCTCTCAAGGGTCCCTTTTGTGGTATGTGAGCGTACCAAGTGGTGCGTCCAGCCTCCGTCGCCAGTCTGAATTTTTTTCTGTTCACATTAGATTTTTTTTCCTTTTTTGGCCTTTAGGTTTTTGCTTGGTTTTCCTAGGTTTAGGAAAAGCTTTTTTTATTTTTTTTGTGAAGTACAACTGTAATCTTGAAAATGAAAGAAAAACTATGGTTTTACAAGAAGCACATATTTGCTTCTCATGGAAGCACATATTTGCTTCCGTGAGAAGTACAACTGTGGTTCTCAAAAAAAAGTGCGCCCAAGAGAAGTATAGATTTGCTTTCGCGAGAAACACATTTGTGTGTTTTTTAAAAATCTTCTTCCATGAGAAATCACATATTTGCTCCCACGCTATACTTCTCGGGAAAAGAAAGTTCGTGCTTCTCGAAAAGTGGAAAAAGGTGAAAAACCATAACTATGCTTCCGGGCTCTGGTTTTTTCTCTTTCGTCTTTTTTATTTGTTTTTTGGTTGATGTTATTTTTTTATCAGATTTGTTTTTATTTGGTATTTGCTTTTTTCGGTTGCTGGTTTTTCATGAATCTTTTGGGTCAAAACCTATTAACATGGGAAGTTTTGAGGAGCTCAAAGCGAGAAATCCAATCATCAAAACGGTTCAAGATTAGGACACATGGTTCAAGAGATAAAATGTACTCCCTCCGTCCGGAAATACTTGTCATCAAAATAAATAAAATGAGATGAATCTAGATGTATTTTAGTTCTAGATACATCCCTTTTTATCCATTTTGATGACAAGTATTTTCGGACGAAGAGAGTATTGAATAAATGTGTCTACTGAAAAGGAGAAATTCCCAGATGCGCTACTTGCAACCACCTAAGAAGGTGGGGGATGACTTTTGCAAAGGGGCAACCCTTAACTAGTTATTTCCGTTCTCTAAAAAAACTAGTTATCTCCGAATTCCCCCATCTCGCTCACTTAGTAAGTCTCATCAAGATGATGTCATCCATGTGCTCGGGCCTGATTCTCTTTCATTGTTATTTGTCGTAGCCTTGCCTTTTTTTCTTTAATCGACTGGCCTCATTTTCATGCCTGTGTTTGTTTTTCCTATTTTTGGCTAGGCCTTCGATTTTGTGGATCGTGTTTTTCTAGCAGAAGAGGTCGTCCAAGAAATAGGGGCATTCCAGAAGTCAGAAGTTCAGCCGATTTGCAACTTTTAAGGGCTGTAGACATATTCCTTGCGAAGATTCAATTTTCTCCAGAATTTTTGAAACATTTTAAACAGATTTATTTGAAATTGGAGCATGGGAACATGTGGGAGATGGCATCACCGGACACTCTCTCCAAATGCACTGCTAAACCCTGGGCTGGGTATTATTACATTATGTATTTTTTTTCTGTTACATACATTATCTAAGGCAAGGGATCTTGGGGTAGACATATCCGGAGGTGTCCCCTTGCGCGTTCTGGCAGAGGGCCAGGGCTTCTCCGTACGGAAATGTGATCGCCACGGAGTTGACGTGGATGTTGGTGCAGCTGCGGCTCTCGCTGCAGACGAACTCGACGGCCGTCCTGTACCTCGAAGTCCCCTTGAGGTTCGTGTACGTTATGTTGCTCACCGCCACCGCCCCCTACGGCAAATTATGATCCCCAGAAGAAGACGCACAAACATTAGCACTAGCTGCTCCACACGTACACAGATAGTCCAACAGTTAATGAACACATGCACTACTACCATGTTTGGGACGTGGTAGGGGTCTGCTTAGAACTGGTTGATGACCACAGGATTGTCCACGTTGGTGAAGTTTATGTTGGTGAAGGAGATGGATCTCGCGTAACCTTTCCCACCCTGCAGTGCGAAGAAACAGTGTAATCACCCGGAAGTTAGCAAGAGAAGGCCGGTTTCAGCTTGGTTTCATGGCACCTCAGTACTGTACCTGCCACGTCTTGATCCTTGCTCCACTCAAGGTATTGATGAAGTGGACGTTTTTTACGTCGATGTACTCCACGGATTCGGTTGCTCCCTTCTTGCCAAGGCTCCCCACACTAGCCAAGAAACACAATCACGTCATTTTACTCCTCTTCTTGGAGTGCATGGTAAATAGAAAATGCAGATGGAAGAAGCCTCCTTATTGTAACCCTTTGTTACCTTACAGCACGGCCGGGGCCGCAGACGATTCCGTCCACGGTGACGAATCGGCTCCCGGGGCCGATGGAGACGCATTCGCCGCTGGTGCCCATGGTCGATCTGGTGACGCGGACGTCTTCGCTCTGGTCGATGTGCACGCCGTCGGTGTTGGGGCTGTCCCAGGGCGCGGTGGTGGTCAGCTGCGTCAGGTGGACCTTGCTGCTCTGGCTGACGGCAATATGCATCTGCGAGCTGTTCTTGCTGCTGAATTTGCTCAGCTCCACGTCGGTGCAGTTCATGACCACCAAGGCCTGTACGATCCATGCGGTGGCACGCAGTACGCAATGAGGTTACATGCATGTTGATTTGCGAATGCTAATTATCTAGACACTATACGGGAAATACACTTGTGTTCCTGGTTGTATATGCACCCTATATGAGGATTTTTTAAAATATTTAAAAAGTCAAAATAGCTAAGAACTATTTTGACAAAAAACTTGACTTAATTTTGCACTAGAATATAATTTTCCATGAAAAAAAACAAAAGTTGACCTCACAGCAAAAAAGACAAAATTTATTTGCTATTATAGGTCACTATTCACACTATTTTAGCCAAAAAATTGTCTTTTTTTGAAAAGAAGTCAAAGGGAAAATTTTCTTTTTATGAATTTTTTCTCACTAGTACAATAGAAGGTCAAGTTTATTTCAAAAATATTTTCAGGAATTTTTGACTTTTTGTTGAATTACTAATTTTTTTCTCATATAGTGTGTAGGTGTCCCCATAAACCACAAATCCGCCTCCGACACTATACTTGCTTTACACGTTTGTACTAACCGTCGGCGCCTTATATATGTCCTGAAAGAAAAGAACAATAACAGGTGAGTGAAAACTGATAAATGCTTCGCCTTGAAGAAAAGATAGACAATTAAATACACTTTCTCTCAGACGAAGATTTGAAAAATGAATCTAAAGGCACAAATGCACGGAGGAATTAAAAGATTTTCGTTCTTTCTTGCAAGAGGTGAGTTGGGCTCTCACACCGTAGCGGTTGCATTGATCGCTCCACCACCACGACCGGCCTCTGCCGTCGAGCAAGCCGGTGCTGCCGCCGGTAACCGTGAGCCCCTGGACCTGGTAGAACATCATCCAATATTTCTGCCCGCTCCATGCGCCCGGCGGTGGCGCCGTAATCGTGCCCATGACCTACGACAGTCAAAGCAAGGGCAGCAGATTTCCTGACCGTCAGATGAAGCCACGCAAACCACGGCCCAGATCTAAGAGCAGATCAGGAAAGACGGACGGTGCATGCGTGCCTGGACGGTAATTCTGGTGGAGGCGCAGGGCCCGCTGAATCTGGCGGGGCCGACGAGGAAGGACTTGCCCGCCGGTACGAGCAGCGACGCCGACGAGCCTCTGGCGCCGCACGCCGCGCTCCATGCGTCTATGAACGCCTTCGCACGCAGGACAGATAGTCAACACACATCCGGCCGTCACGTATGCGTGAGCTATATCGATCGAGAGCGCAACGTCAACTCGGGCGTCGCGCGCGTGCGTACGTACCTTGGTGTCGTCCGTGGTGCCGTCGCCTCGAGCACCGTAGTCCTTGACGTTGAACACGCCGTCCGCCTCGCCGGCGGCGGCAACGAGCACACTACGCCACGCGAGGGCAGCGAGGAGCAGGGTGGCCGTGCGGATGCCGATGATGCCCTGCAAGAGTAATTAGTAAGCACGTCTCACGCGGACGCACCTGCATTTATCGCCAATTCACCAGCACGTACGTACTAGTTGTTATTACTACTCTATAAACTACAGATGAATCTGACCATAGAGTGTGTGCACTAATCTAGTTATTTGATATTGCTTAGACGACATTAGTACGTACCATCTGTGTAGGTCTCGTAAGGTCGGTGACTCGTGCAATGTCTCCACTCTCGCTGCAGTCTCTGAGTGGAATCAAGTGCCAAGCTCTGTTCGATCCTAAAATGTTTTCCTGTGGGGGTATATATATGGTACGCCGGAGAAGCGTCGAAAATGGGGGCGGCACCTTTTCATCATTTATTTTTTTGAAAGAGGCGGCACTGTTTGTTTTGGTGTTGAAGATTGCCAAAGCGGTGTTGAAGCCACATGGCATTTTGCTAGATCATGTATCTGTCAACACCCACCAGTACCAGATGGATCCTTCATCGTGTTCTCGCGCCGAAGAAATGAAGATCGATGGAGTGACGTGTACGTTTGCCTAGCAAAAAAAAAAGAGATATACGTTCGACCACGCAGATATAATGCTTAATCGTTGTACCGGTTTGTGTAAACAATTTCGGTGCACTTTTAATGCCTATATCTTAGTAGCCTGGTTGTACCGGGAGTATTATCACTAGTAGAAAACAGGGCTTTGGTTCGGGCCTGGCTAGCCCATTAGTCTCGGTTCAGTCACGAACCGGGATCCATGGGAGTACATGTCCCGGTTCGTGAGTCCGGGGGCTGGCCTGGGCCTCGTGGGCATTGGTTCCAGTTCGTCTGGACCCATTTGTCTTGGTTTCAGCCACAAACCGGGACAAATGAGCTGCCTATATATATTCCATCGCCGCAGCAGAGCACTCCACAGTGCTCTGTTTTTTCTGGCCGGCGAGGGGAGGGCATTTGGGTGCTCTAGCTCACCTCCTATGCACATGAGATGTTCGATGAAATGACCGAGCCACACTAGTTAAGCTTTCTCCTCTCGAAGCTCGGCCTCCAAACTCCATTTTCCCCGAGATTTGCATAGGTTTAGCGGTCCGTCACGTCCCATCCCTGTCTTCACCGCCGTCGATCGCCTGTGTCGATCTCGTCGCCGGCACCACCGTGGTGAGCCTCTTGTTCTTATCTTCTTTCTGAAAGAAAACATATTCTTACTTTAGATAGATACTTGTCTAATTTTCTTACTATTACTATTGCTTGTTATAATATAGTGTGATGGTTTTGGTAACCGCCCCCGTCGGCCCTCGTCCTGGCTATGATTCAGATGTGGTATATATTATCTTTTTATAACTATTTGGTTCATTTATTGTTTATGACAATTATGCCGACCAATGTGACATAGATTTTATTTATCTAGGAGGTAGTTGAACCATAAATTCCAACCGACCCTCTTGTCGATAGGTTAAATTTAGTTGAACAAGAAAACAATTACTTGAAGGAAAAAATTAAAAAAAATTAAGAAGGAGAAGATGATATTGGAGTTGCATATTGCGGATGTCGTCGATGATCACAAGATCAAGATGGATGCAATGCGGTTGAAGGTGAGAAAGATTACGAAATATGCCATTCATATCGAGGCTTGGTATCATTATACCGTTGGATCAATTGTTACCTTGGTTGTGTGATAATGATCGCATTTGTTGTTGCATTGAAATGTTTTAAATAGTTTCAATGTATGGTTTAAGTAGATGCTCTGGAGAGCTATATGTTGTTCAATTTGAACTATATATGTACTTTGGTTTTAATGTGATGATGAACTTTTATTAATTTGGTCATTTATCTATCCATGTGAATCTGTAATGGTTTTTGACACACATAATTATATATAATGCAAGCAGATGAACCGGCAATGGATGTACGATGACAGACACACATAATTATGTTTCTCGAAGTGGCTGAGGCAAACAAGCAGAATGGTTAAATGAAAAAATAACAAATGAAGTCAGAAATGGTTGAAAATTGATGATGTGGCTTTGAATGGTGCATTATGAACACACAAAAGTCTGGAGTTCAAATAAGTTCAAAAAAATGAAATCCCTTTGTAACAGATGAGTTTTCGTATGAAACCCTGATACTTCGAAAGAGATTGTGCATTTTGTACACGAAGTGCATCTAGTTTTTGCCGTAACCATCTCTACTTTTTAGCACATGCTATATGGGTGAAATGATGATACCATGCCAACTTTTAACCTTTTCAGAGTTCATTTGTAGTGGTTTTCAATTTCAGGGTCATTTAGTGCAAAAAGAATGAACTAATAGAAAAAATAATGAACTAGAAAACTTTTATGAAACTCTGATAGAAAAAATAATAAACTAAAAGAATGAACTAGAAAACTTTAATGAAACTCTAATAGAAAAAACAATGAACTAGAAAACTTTAATGAAACTCTAATAGCAAAAGGAATCAACTAAAAAGCTTTCATAAACCTCTAGTATTATTAAAACTAAAATTATATAAAATTTATACAACTAAAATTATCAAAGTATTTTTTGTTCAAAACATTATAAGCAAAAAGAATTTTCATAAATAACTTTTTTTGTTAGAAACTTTAATAGCAAAAAGAATTATCATAAAAAAATTGTTAGAAACTAAAATATAAAAAATGTTTTTGAATATAATGATAAAACACTGTAATATTCAATAACAGGAAAAAGAATCACTCCAAAATCTATTTTATAGTAAAGTTAATCACAAACTAATGATTCACACAAATTTCAAAGAATTCAAATTTAAACTATTCAAATTGGAAAACTAATGGCACTAACAGAAAGTTTATTATTTTTATTACCTAAAATCAAAAAGAATCACTAAAAAACAGTAAGTATTTTATTTTTATAGTAAAGTTAATCCCAAACTAGTGATTCACACAAATTTCAAAGAATTCAAATTTAAACTATTCAAATTAGAAAACTAATGGCACTAACAGAAAGTTTATTATTTTTATTACCTAAAATCAAAAAGAATCGCTAAAAAACAGTACGTATTTTATTTTTATAGTAAAGTTAATCACAAACTAGTGATTCACACAAATTTCAAATAATTCAAATTTAAACTATTCAAATTGGAAAACCAATGGCACTAACAGAAAGTTTATTATTTTTATTACCTAAAATAAAAAACAATCATTGAAAGACAGTAAGTATTTTATTTTTATAGTAAAGTTAATCACAAACTAGTGATTCACATAAATTTCAAAGAATTCAAATTTAAACTATTCAAATTGGAAAACTAATGGCACTAACAAAAAGTTTATTATTTTTATTACCTAAAATCAAAAAGAATCACTGAAAAACAGCAAGTATTTTATTTTTATAGTAAAGTTAATCACAAAGTAGTGACTCACACAAATTTCAAAGAATTCAAATTTAAACTATTCAAATTGGAAAACTAATGGCACTAACAGAAAGTTTATTATTTTTATTACCTAAAATCAAAAAGAATCACTGAAAAATAGTAAGTATTTTGTTGTAAATAAAAACAAAATAAAATAAATAAAGCAACAAAGATAATAAAAAAACTGGAAAAAAATAAAAATGCCACCTACTGGGCCACCACGGCGTGAATACGACTAGAAACCCACCCATGGACCAGGATTCAGGCCTGCATTAGGCCCAGTAAGCCCACAGGCAGATAAAAGTGACTTTAGGCCTGTAAGCCTGCATTAGAGAGGAGTTCGAAGTGGTCAGCGCAGCAACGCTTATAAACCACTATCGAAGCTTCTTGACTAGCGAGGTGGGACTAAACATCCCACCACACCGCGACAGTTCCAGCACAAGACCATTGATCCTGGTTCGTGGCTCGAACAGGGACGAAAGGGGGCCTTTGGTCCCGCTTCGTGGCACCAACCGGAACCAATGCCACCCCTTTAGTCCCGGTTGGTGCCACCAACCGGGACCCCCCGCCCTTTGGGCTGCTGAAAAGAGACCTTTGGTCCCGGTTGGTGGCACCAACTGGGACTAAAGGGGGCATTGGTCCCGGTTGGTGGCACGAACCGAGACCAATGCTTCGTGTATATAAGCAAGACTTGTGAAAATTTCCATTTCTCATCTCGCAGTTGCCGCCCCGACGACATCGACGCTGCCAGGCTGCCGCCCCCGACCGCCGTCTCCGTCGTCGCCGTCACCCCTACCCCGGCCTCGCCGTACCCTGCACCGACCTCGACGCGCCCTGCCCCGACCTCGCCGTCGCCGAGCCCTGCCCCGACCTCGCCGCCGCTCGCCTGCACTATGAGCCTCATCGCGACATTCCCCCTCCTCTCCCCCTTCCTCCCGCGCCCCAACGCCGCCGCCGCCCGCCCCGACGTCACCGACGAAGGCCCTGTTCACATATATAGATTTTTTTTGTTCATATTGTAGTAGTAGATGATGACGATGATGATGTATGTATGTTCATATGCAAAAGTTCGGATTTTTTTCTGTTCATAGAATTTTTTTGGTGATATTATTGTAGAATATGCAAATGTTTGTATGTTCATATGCAAAGAATATGTCATTTTTTATAGAATTTTAATGATTTTTTTTGTTGTAATTTTGTTCATAGAATTTTTATTTTTTTTTCATTGTAATTTTGTTCATAGAATTTTTATTGTTTTTTTCTGTTGTAATTTTGTTCATAAAGTTTTAGGATGAAAAAAAGATGAAGAAAAGAAAGGGAGGAGGAGAAGTTTCGTTTAGTTTTAGGATTATTTTAGTTTATGTTTAGTTTAGGAAGAAGGAAAAGAAAAAGGAGAAGAAGAGGAGAGGAAGAAGAGGAGAAATAAATAAGAAGATGAAAAAAGGGAAAAAAGAGAAGAAGAATATTCTATTTTTTCTTCTTCTCCTCTATTCCTTTCTTCTTCTCCTTTTTTCTTCTTCTTTTTTTCTTCGATCTTCTCATCTTTTTATTTCTTCTTTGTCGTCTTATTTTTTATCGGGTATGTCGTTGTCGATATACCCCCTCCCGATAACTTCAATACAAGGGGGGGGGTCGATATACCCCCTCCCCGATAACATTATTTTCCCATGTATGTATGTCGTCTTGTCGATATAATCCCCTCCCGAATAACTTCGACATGAGGGGCGGTCGATATATATACCCGCTCTCGACCGTGATAACTTATACCACAAGAGCACCCCCCCCGACCCTCTCGCTCGACCAAAACTCTCGACCGT